TTGGCATGAATGTTTTGCAGATGTGTGGTTGCATGTTTTACTCTTTTTGAGCATGCAGAGAGGACTCTCTTCTCTTCTGCTGATGTTACTTCATTTCTGCTATGCTTACAGACTGAGCTTTGATACACCGGTACATCCCAATCCTCTTCCTAGCTCTCATTTGCAGACGTTTGTTTTATTTAATAATTATAATAGCAATGAAAAAAGTAGACAATTCTAGATAGACTTTATGGTGCAATGAGGAGAAAATAAAAAGCATCATGAATTGTTTTCTGTAGAGTGCAGCAGTTGGTGAATTTGTCGATTCTTGGTTGTTATTTTTTTAATGTCATGTACTGCTTTTTTCGTCAGAGGGCTTTTGTTTTTCTTTATTCTGAAGTAGATGTACATCTAATCAAATGCCAAATAAATTGTACAAATGAAGCACAGTCGTGTTTGGGTCTCTTTTGTCGGAAAGGTAAGTGAAATCATTTTTTATTATTATTATTTTTTATGTTAAATGATCATTATGTTTGTCGCAGGGTATAAGAGTAACACTTTGCCATGACTTTCGTAGTTGTGAGAGTTTGTTTCGTGTTTAATTTAGCAAACTAAACATTATTTAATTTATTTTTTATTAAAACAAATGTTTTCTCCTACTGATCTGCAAGTGTTATTTTTAATTTTGTATGTGTTATTGTATCTAATGGTGCAATTATTAAACCGACATTTGACAACACATTTATAAAACATAGTGCACAAAACATTATTATTCTTTCATTTTCCTTTGGCTTAGTCCCTTTATTCATCAGGGGTTGGCACAGCGCCAGCTTATATGTTTTACGCAGTGGATGCCCTTCCAGTCGCAACCCAGTACTGGGAAACACCCAAACACTCTCTTTCAAACACACACACACACACTACGACCAATTTAGTTCATCAATACCCCTATAGCGCATGTGTTTGGACTGGGGGAAACCGGAGCACCCGGAGAAAACCCACGCAAATGCAGGGAGAACATGCAAACTCCATACAGAAACGCCAACTGAGCAGAGGCTCGAACCAGCTACCTTCTTGCTGTGAGGCGACAGCACCACCTACTGCGCCACTGCATCGCCCGTCTTTTAAATTGAACTAAAAAAATTAACCCATTAATTGGTTTAGCTGCATTACAACCAAAATTGGATTTAAAAATAACCCGGCATCTTTAGAGTGTTGGATCATTAGTTTATATTGCTATTGTATTGCCATGGCAACTATAAAATTGGCGCAACAAATTAATATTGTTCAAACCAATATAATAATTTGGTATATTTATAGACACACACACACACACACAGTCCACTTTATTAGGTACACCAGTCCAACTGCTTGTTAACGTTAATTTCTAATCAGCCAATCACATGGCAGCAACTCACTGCATTTAGGCACATAGTCAAGACGATCTGCTGCAGTTCAAACTGAGCATCAGAATGGGGAAGAAAGGGATTTAAGTGACTTTGAATGTGGCATGGTTGTATGTGCCAGACGGGCTGGTCTGAGTCTTTCAGAAGCTGCTGATCTACTGGGATTTTCTCACACGTATCTCTGAACACACAACACGTCCAACCTTAAGGCGGATGGGCATTTGAGCATCGTGTCAACACCACAGCGTACCTGAGTATTGTTGCTGACCATGTCCATCCCTTTATGACCACATCTTCTGATGTCTACTTCTGGCAGGATAACACACCATGTCATGAAGCGTGAATTATCTCAGACTGGTTTCTTGAACATGACAATGAGTTCACTGTACCTAAATGGCCTCCACAGTCACCAGATCTCAATCCAATAGAGCACCTTTGGGATGTGGTGGAATGGGAGATTCACATCATGGATGTGCAAATCTGCAGCAACTGTTTGATGCTATCATGTCAATATGGAGCAAAATCTCAGAGGAATATGAATCTACGCCATGAAGGATTAAGGCAGTACTGAAGGCAAACGTAGGTCCAACCTGGTGCTAGTACCTAATAAAGTGAGCTGGTGAGTGTACATGTAAAAGTTAGTGTAGTATATTTTAAATACTATGAAAGTGAATGGTTGTTGTTTTTTTCTTTCTCATTCGTTTTCATTCTTCAGATTATCTTCATTTGTGTTCAGCAGAAGAAAGAAACTAAAGTAGGTTTTGAACAACTGGAGGACGAGTAAATGATGATTGTTTAGGTAAACAATCTCTTTAAAGGGGACCTTTTATGTGCCTTTTCACAAGATGTAACATATAACTTTATTTTACAACTCTCTGAAACTGACCCTTTTAGGTTTCGATTCTAATTGTGGCATTTTGGTGACGGTCGCTTTAAATGCAAATGAGATTGTGCTCTTTTCAGAAGAGGGCGGAGCTACAAATGCCTATGTGTCAGCATAGTGGCAGATTCAAAAACAAGACTTATGTCCTATGCTAATGAGGGAGAGATGGTGACCAGTGGGCGGGGCTTTCCCCCTCTGATGACACGTACAAAGGGAGAATGTCAATCAAAGTGTTTCTGCCGACTGTTTATATCGAGAGTGATTATAAATTATAAAGTTAATACATTTTTACCATAAGAAGCTGCTTATATTCACACACTGCTGACACACAACTGTTTAAACTCCCTATAAAAGTGATTGTTGCGTAATAGTTCCCCTTTAAGATCTCATAACTGTTATTTGATTCTCTTTTGAACGATTGAATGGCTGCTCATTCATTTCTGTCCGTCCTGGAAATCGATCGCTCTTAAATGTCTCATGAGCCAAAAAGGGGGATCCCAGATGTAAAGACGCACTCAATGACCCCCGTGTAAAAGCCGATCCTCGGGCCCTCTGGGAGTCCCGGTCCACAGAGATTAGACATCGGTGACAGAGGTCTGACATTCACAAATAAAGGATTCACTGTTGCACAGATGTGTGACGTGTTGCATAAGATCTGCATGGTATATACAACGACAAGTGTTCAGGCTATTTAAAGGCAGTTAAGAGTTTCTTCTGTTGAACACAAAAGGAGATATTTTGAAGAATGCTGGTTGCACCCATTGACTTCCTTAGTAGGAAAGATATTGACTATGGAAGTCAATAGGTGCCAACATTTTCTACATATCTTCTTTTGTACATAAAGATTTGTATTTAAAGATTTGATTTGAACATAATGGGCCCTATCATACACCCGGCGCAATATGTGCTTGGCGCGATTTGTTGCTATTTTCAGACCAGCGCAACCCTAATTATCCAGTTTTGCACCATGTTGTTTTCAAGAGTTCACACTTAGATATTGCTTGACAACTGTAAGCAGGTTTGGCATGCTGTCCCGGGAGAGAACCCTGAGCTCGGAGATAGTTGAGCCCAGGGCTCCTGCCAGGTCCATAGAGCATGTGAGGGGAGTACGAGATCAGGTGGTTCTCGAGAGCTCCCCTTTTTGTAAAGGAGATAAGGTGGAGAAAGGGGGTGGATGGGGGGGTTTCTTCGGAAAACGAAGATAACGGAGTAATATCTAGATAGGCTACTTATAGTGAGTTAGGATAGATCTGATTGGCTAACTAATGAGTGTAGATAGGTGGCCAGCTGCAGTCAATTATATCACGTGCCCCTCTCGAAATTAGTTTAAAAACTTCACTAAATAGTAAATCCATTTGCGCTACTTTTTGGACTCATGAGTGTGCGGGTCTAGAAAGGAGGTGTGTTAAGGCGCATTGTTGGTGCGTTGCTATTTTGAGAAACTGAAATAGATCGCACAATTGAGAGCATATAAGTTGTGCGCCTTAAACGCTTACACATTGCTTAATACACACAGGAGGTACAGCATGCGCAAATATCTTTACAGATGAAAACAATTACAGGATTATTAATTAATTTTCTTTTCGGCTTAGTCCCTTTATTAATCAGGGGTAATTTATTTAATATTTATAAATCAAATCCAATAAGGTCCACTTGTTTGGTAAACAAAGCAAGTCACCCATGTGACAGCTACTAAAATATTACTTTACAATCTGCATTCATCCATTTTCCTTCAGCTTGGTCCCTTTATTGATCAGGGGTGGCCACAGCGGAATGAACCGCCAACTTATCCAGCATATGTTTTACGCAGCGGCTGCCCTTCCAGCTGCAACCCATCACTGGAAAACAACTATACACATTTATTCGCACATATACTATGGACAATTTAGCTTATCCGATTTACCTGTACCGATTGTCTTTGGACTTGTGAGGGAACAACACAGAGAGGAAACCCACGCGAACGCCCAATTAAGGGATTCAATTGTTACAAATATTATTATTTTCTACATAAATCTAAAAACCACTGCCTCCATGCCTTCTTCACCTCGGGGAGCTTTTTCAGTTTATTCATGACACTTTGCATGAATAATACACCCCTGATGAGTAAAGGGACTATGCCAAAGGAAAATTAATAAATGGAGACAATTTTTTTTTTCTTACCTCCGTATGGACTGCTGTTACCAGTTTGTCCAATGGCTCACAGCGTACGTCACAGGATTTAAGACGTGAACCACAACAATGGGGTTTGAGTCTGGTGAAGAACGGTTCCAGAAAGCAGGTGAGACAAAAACAGAAGGCAAAAAAAAAAAAAAAAAAGTAAATAACAAGGTAAGGATGTGGTAAAATCTGACAATGTGGTAAAAATCAGCAGAGGGCTTTTCTTTTTCTGGATTGCTTTTGAAAACACTGTCGGTTGGGTTTAGGGACGGAGGAGGGCGAGTCAGTCCATCGGTCAGTCAGTTGACAGTGGCCTCTGGTGGGTTTACATTGGAACAGCAGGCGTGAATGGCTTTCACAAGAGAAATTTGACAACTGAAAAAGAGTACACATTTCTGGTGGATTCCAGAAAACAAAAACTGCAAAAAAAAAAAAAAAAAAAAAAAGTACCTCCAGGGACATATTTGGCGCTTTCCAGAAATCGGGGTACATTTTCACAATGAAGAAATGATAAAATAAAACATTGTGCATTTATGAAGTGTGCCTCATACAGGTGAGTGGGCTTGACAAACCACCAGCAGAAACACTCTTCTCTCTATTATAAAAGAAACAGCCTCCCCTCCTTATTGTAGCACTAAATTCTCTGGGCACTAACAGTTTGTTTGTATAATCAGCACTTGTTGTGTGTATTGCTTCTTCTTGTTGAATTACTGAATGCCTCCTCAATTGTGTTACATTGGACAAAAGCGTCTAAATGTAAACGTTTTAATAATCATTTTAATTATTGATCGACTGATCTAGAATGTCTCCACTGTATTTAATCTCTGTAAGTCATTCTGTCTGTATCCTCTCTCTCTCTCTCTCTTTCTCCTGATTGCAGATGCTCTCAGTGTTCATTTCTCCGGTTCCTCGTTCAACAACTGTTATTTGTGTGAGTCTGGGGACGAGCGCAGCGGCAGCGACACGCTCAAATGAGCACAGTCATAGGAAGAAAAAAAAAACCCTGACATCCTACCTCCATCTCTATTTAAACGCAGCACTTCTTTACGTTTTGGATTGTTTGGAGTCCAGGAGCGGCGGGAGCCTGTTTACTGATGGTGATGATGATACTGATGCTGATGATGTCCGTGCTTTTATTGGCACGCACTGATGATGGTGAGTGACGGCAGATTCACTGTTTACACTTTGAAACAAAAAATGCTGGGTTGTTTTAACTCAATGCTGGGTCAATTTTTCCATTTATTCATCACTTTTCCACCCAATTTGCTGGGTTCAAGCTTGTTCTGATTTGACACAGAAGCTCAATTCTCAGTGGTTTTATTCACATTTTTAAAAAAATGTTTGACATTTCAGTGAAACCATGTCAAATATAGCATTAAATGCGAATAAAACCACTGAAAATGCTAAAGAACCATATAAAAATGTAGAGAAGGATGGCATTTACAAATTAATGTTAAAATTGATTGCAAATTTTTCTTTTAAATGATGTCTGTCCATTATAATGTCTAGTCTGTTCTAATCATGTGCAGAATATAAAGCAAAAAAACATCTAAATAAAGGTTAAATTTGATCATTTGAGTGTTTGATGTTCAGAAACTTCAACTACAGACCAATATTTGGATTATTTGATCTTTAATTTGATGTTGGCATATTGTTTTTATAAAGTACAAACCGCCTTTATGTTTGATGACATGGACAAAAAATCATTATTAAAATTATTTGGACATTTTATTAAGTTTTAATTATGGAATTTAGTCTCATTTATGGACAAAAATCAAATAAAGCATGTTGAATTTTTATTCTTTATATTTAATCTTAATTATGGAATTTAGTTTTATTTATGGACAAAGAAATCCATTTAATATTTTATTTAGTCCCATCTATGGACAAAAAATAAATTAATTAATTTAAAAAATGTTGACTTTGTATTATTTTTATTTAGTTTTATAAATGAATTTTAGTAAATTTTTTGGAAAAAGAATCACAAAGAATGTTGATATTTGTATTACTTTTATTTAATGTAATTTGTGGAATTTAGTCTCATTTATAAACAATAATCAATAAAAGAACATTGATATTTTATTAGTTTTATTTGGTGTCAATTGTGGACAAAAAAATCTATAAAAAATGTTGATTTTGCAATATTTCTATTTAGTTTTATTAATGAAATTAGTCTCATTTATGGACAAAGAAATCAAAGCAAGTTAGTATTTTTATTATTTTTATTTAGTCTCATTTATGGACAAAGAAATCAATTAAAGCAAGTAATATTTTTATTAGTTTTATTTAGTCTCAATTGTGGAATTTTGTATCATCTATGGACAAAAAAATCTATAAAAAAATGATGATATTTTTATTAGTTTTATTTAGACTCAGTTATGGGCAAAAGAAATCAATTAAAGCATGTTGATTTTTTATTCTTTATATTTAATCTTCATTAAGGAATTTAGTTTCATTTATGGACAAAGAAATCCATTTAATATTTTATTTAGTCCGATTTATGGACAAAAAAATTATTATTTAATTTTAAAAATGTTGACTTTGTATTATTTTTATTTAGTTTTATAAATGAATTTTAGTAAATTTTTTGGAAAAAGAATCACAAAGAATGTTGATATTTGATTATTTTTATTTAATGCAACTTATGGAATTTAGTCTTATTTATGAACAATAATCAATAAAAGAATATTGATATTTTATTAGTTTTATTTAGTGTCAATTATGGACAAACAATCAATTAAAAATGTTGGTTTTGCATTATTTTTATTTAGTTTTATTAATGAAATTAGTCTCATTTATGGACAAAGAAATCAATTACAGAATATTGACAAATTTATTAGTTTATTTAGATTCAATTATGGAATTTTGTCTCATCTATGGACAAAAATCTAATAAAAAATGTTGGTTTTGCATTATTTTTATTTAGTCTCAATTATGGATTTTAGTCTCATTTATGAACAATAATCAATTAAAAAATGATGATTATTTTTATTAGATTTATATTTATAGTCTCATTTATGGACAAATAAAATTAAATAATGTTGACATTTTTATTATTCATATTTAGTTTCATTAACGGAATGAAACTCCAAGTTCAATATGAAATATCAATACAAACACTTTTTAACCCAACGTTTGGGATTGTCCATATCTGACCCAACACTGAGTTAAAACAACCCAACCGTTCTTTTAGTTTTTGATTTAAATGTGATTAATATTTGATATTGATTTGAATATTTGTCCTCAGACTTTTGTTATGACGAGGACCACTGTGGTGAGTTCATGAGCGAAAGCAATCATGCGTTATTCAAACATGCTATTTCTGTTGTGATGAGCTTAAACAAGGCCATAATGTTGTTGTCAGATCCATATGCATGGGGAGACAGTTATCCTTCCTGTCATCCGCTTCTGGACAGCCATCATTCGCCCATCAACCTGGACCATCATCTGATGAAGAACCACTCGCTGGACTCTCTGCAGCTCCATGGCTTTAATCTGACTCATAAAGGTCAATGGTGGCTGACGAACCAGGGCCACTCGGGTACAGAAACTCTACATTAGGTCTTGTTTAGAATAGGGTTTTTTTCTGCATTGGGGTTTTAGAAAAGTCTTTATTCAATTTAATTATCATCATTTATTACATCGTAAGCCATGAGCAGAGCCAGACAGAATCTACAGGTGTTTATTTTTTATTTCTGCACAGAGTTTTATATACAAAATATGTGGATATATGCAGAATGTTTTTGAGTATAGATACTAAAGACATTTATTTAATATTTATAAAGCAAATCCAATTAGGTCCAGTTGTTTGGTAAACAAAGCAAGTCTCTCATATGATATATCTACTGAAATATTCCTCTACAAACTGTTTTCATTCATGTTCCTTCAGCTTGGTCCCTTTATTCATCAGGGGTGGCCACAGCGGAATGAACCGCCAACTTATCCAACATATGTTTTACGCAGCGGATGACCTTCCATCTGCAACCTAGTACTGGGAAACACCCATACACTCTCATTCACACACTACAGCTTATTCAATTCTTCTATAGCGCATGTGTTTGGACTGTTGAGCACCCGGAGGAAACCAAACACGGTGAGAACATGCAAACTCCACACAGAAATGCCAACTGAGTTCAGGGCTCAAACCAGCGACCTTATTGCTGCGAGGCGACAGTGCTAACCACTGAGCCACAGTGTCGCCTCTTAATGTTTTCAGTGCAAATCCAATTAGATCCACTTGTTTGTTATAGATATAGGTATTGATGAGATCCCTTCTTATATGATATATCTACTAAAACTATTTACGATCTGCATAGTACAGGAATATTATAAGCATTTTAATTTTATTGAGTGATTTTACTGAAATTATTATAAAAACAGAATAAATAAAGATATTTACACACGTTTAAATAAATTAATAAACTCAATGAGGGGCCATGAGCCATGAGCCAAGTTCTGATTTAAAGCAAAAAATAAAAGATTTTCATTAAAAGGTGGACCTTAACAGCTTCAATGAGGCACTGTGAATGCATAAATAATTACATCTACACTCTAAAAAATAACTCAAGAGGTCTGTTACCACTACATAGTTTAATACATTATTGTAACTTAAAAATTGTAAAATGCTGATTAGATTAAGACTTTTAAATTGCCAGAATAATTTTATTAAGTTTTCAAAACAGGAAAATATTGAAAATTACATCAATTTAAAATTTGGCTAATTTAAAAGTAAACAAAAATGTCACTTACTTTTAAACAATATTTAACTTGTAGCAACCCAAAGAAATTGGGTTGATAGCTCAATTTTTCCACACTAATGGAGTTGTTTTGTATTTTTCACTGATGTTTTTTGCTGTTTTTTATACTGATAATATGGAACACTACATGTTTTTGTTTTGTAAAACAATAAAAACCTTTTTTATAAAAAACAATTTACTGAAAAACAAAAATGCTTGTTAAATGTATTTCATACAAGCATGAACAGTAAATTTGCTTAAAAAAATTGAACAATTACAGCTACTCTAGGTTCTAAACTTAAAACCATGCAATCACGCACAAAACACTGGATTTGTTTTCAAAAAAAACTATTTGAAACAACTTATTTTTTTGAGTTCTCAACTTAAAAAAATGGAGTTTATGCTAAGTAAAAATGCCTCTGATTGAAGAGGAAAAGATTTGGCAAACAATAAAGTTTGTTGTCTGAACCTCATTTTGTCAGATGTTGTCGTAACTTAAATATATTAATGCAAACTGTTGCGTTAATTTTTTTTGTTTTGTCTAAACAATATTTTTTAGAGTGTACAAAACTTAAAGTGAATTGCTAAATATCAAATATTTAAATGCAAGAGTTTTACAATTCTGTCATCATTTACTCACCCTGCACTTGTTCCAAACCTGTTTGAGTTTCATCCACTGACCACAAAAGAAGATATTTTGAAGAATGTTGGAATCCGGTAGCCATTGACTTCCATAGCATTGACTTTCCTATATGAAAGACAATGATTACGGGTTAAATAGCAGAATTTGTGCCTAAAAAATTAGCTGCTGTACAGATAATTCCACAAATCAGAAAGCCTCAGTGATATAACATTGCACAACCATAAAGCACTGATAATGATATAATTAAATCGGTTTCCCTGTGCTTTCTCTATTATTATTATTTTTTTAGTTTATTCATGACAATCTGCATCTGTATAATGTTATTATGATTATTATTATTATTATTAATCTTCTGGCCAATCAAATGCTCTCCTGACATGCCCCGCCCCCCTCTTCTCATTTGCTTTTCATTTGATGTGCTTGAGCTCAACCACTTTCACTGGCAGAGCTGTGATAAAAACTAAACGCTATTGGCTGTTTTTTAAAGGGGACGGGCTACAATATGCCCCATGCTCTCTCCATTACGTCAAACATCAAATGAAAAATGCACAGTTCAAAGCACTTCACAAGAACTTTAAATATCCCTCAAGGAAAATTAATGTGCACAATAATGCAATTCATTGACTTTTAGAAAGTTGTTGCTTCAAGTGTCTTCAGGAAGTTGGAATAATCCATGTCTCCACTGTTTCTAATTGGAGTTGTGTGTCTGGTGTGCAGTTGTGCTGGAGGTTGGTGACGGTATGCAGGTCAGTGGCGGAGGTCTTCCTGCAACTTATCGCACCTTCCAGCTGCATTTCCACTGGGGAAGCGTCTCCTCAAATGGGTCTGAACACACCCTCGACCACCTCAGGTTTCCTATGGAGGTTTGTGCCTTCGTTTGGTCAGTATCTAGTGTAAGCTAACCGTTACATACAGTTGAAGTCAGAATGACTAGCCCTCCTGAATTATTAGTCTCCCTATATATTGTTTCCCCCAATTTCTGTTTAATAAAGAGATTTTTTTCAACACATTGTTTTAACATAATAGTTTTAATAACTAATTTCTAATAACTGATTTCGGTAACACTTTATAATAACTACACACTATAAATCATGTATTAAGCATTAGCAAATAGTGAATTTATTATCTGTTAAGCATTAACTCTACATTAATAAACGTTAGTAAGCAGGTTATAACTGCAGCTACAAATGCTCTATTCTTGACTTATAAGCACCCATATAATGTGGTTAATAATTGTATTTTCATACTTGGTTAATGATTTATTTTTCATTACTAAATTAAGTATCGAATTATTTACAAACTGTTTGTATTTAAGAGTAGTTGAGGGTTTTTAGGATCATTCAGAATGAGTTAGTAAATGATTAATAAACTATTGAAATCAACATTTATATGTCTTATTATTCAGGCATATATTAATGGTTACTATGTATGTTAATAAATGCTTTATTAACTCAACTTCATGCAGTTTTGTGACCTGATCTAAAGTGAGGACTATTCATGCTTTATAAATCCCTTATAAATGACAAATAAAGGCTCAGTTAAATTCTAAACAGGAAAAGAAGACATTATTCATTGCTCTTCCTTTGAAGATACACAAATGAAACTGTACTTCAAATGAAAAATAAATCTTTGCAACCTGATCTAAAATAGAATCACTATTGAGTTTAAACATTATTATAATGTTAAATTATTATATTGTTGTTGTTTTATCCAGTTGGATGTCATATTTTGACACTCCTGTTATTCAGCATTGTTTAAACTTTACAGTAATTTTACTTTTTAGAAAGATTGCACAGATTATCGTTCATTTGATTCTGAGCCTTTATTTGTCATTTATAAGGGATTTATAAAGCATGAATAGTCCTCACTTTAGATTAGGTCACAAAACTTCATGAAGTTGAGTTAATAAAGCATTTACTAACATATTAGTTAACTATTAGTATATGCCTGAATAATAAGACATATATGTTGATTTCAATAGTTTATTAATCATTTACTAACTCATTCTGAATGGTCCTGAAAACCCTCAACTACTCTTAAATACAAACAGTTTGTAAATAATTCGATACTTAATTTAGTAATGAAAAATAAATCATTAACAGAGTATGAAAATACAATTATTAACCACATTATATGGGTGCTTATAAGTCAAGAATAGAGCATTTGTAGCTGCAGTTATAAACTGCTTACTAACACTTATTAATGTATAGTTAATGCTTAACAGATAATAAATTCACTATTTGCTAATGCTTAATACATGATTTATAGTGTGTAGTTATTATAAAGTGTTACCCTGATTTCTTTTCTTTGCCATGATGACAGCACATAAAGTTTGACTGGATATTCTTTAAGACACTAGTATTCAGCTTAAAGTGACATTTAAAGGTTTAACTAGGTTAATTAGGTTAAAGTTAATTAGTTAAGTCATTGTATAACAGTGGTTTGTTCTGTAGACCAGTGGTTCCCCAAGTGAGGGTCGGGACAATGACAGGGAGTCGCTTGGTGATTTTCAAAAGACAAATAAATTTTATTATTTTTATTATTATTATTATCATATATAGATTTCTAAAAGGTTTTTTTGGCCTTTATTATTAGATAGGACAGTATTGAGACAGGAAGTGGGAGAGAGAGACAGGGAGTAGGGTAGGGAAATGTCGTCGAGCCGGGATTCGAACTCGCAACGCCCTGACATGCTATTGCACCATATGTTGGCGCGCTAACCACTAGGCTAATAAACTGTTAGAATCCCCATATTTTATCCATAACCTACTAAAGATAAAATAGTAGTTTTTAATAATAAAAAAGCATCAACATTCAAATGAAAAGCCATCAGCCTTTCAATAATTTGTTTTCTAGGATTTGTGTTTACTTTAGATTAACAACACAGCAATAGCGTCAGGTTCAGCAGATTGATTTTATAGCACAAGGTAAAACTTTCTGACACCTTTATGGCATTAAAATAAAGAAATACAGGCCACAACTGAGCATTAAGAGTAATCTCTGAGTGGCCGTCTCCAAAATTAAACCAAGAATAGACTTATGCTGAAAACATTGTCCACCAGTCTCTTTAGCTAAGGTTAACACTTAAACTAATAAATAAATGACTATAAAAATGATATGGTTGTTAGACTGTTTTTTGTGTTTTTAATATGCTGGTGTTTAATGGGGCTATTGTTGTGTGCGCAAAATTTGTATATTTATAACCTCAGAGGAATTTGGGGGTTGCGAGTTACTGGGATTGTTATTTTAGGGGTCGTAGGCTGAAAAGTTTAAGGACTCCTGCTGTAGAAAATCGAAAAAATATTGCTTAAAGGGGGCTAATAATATTGACCTTAATATGGTGTTAAAAACTACTTTTATTCTAGTCAAAATAAAACAAATAAGACTTTCTCCAGAAGAAAAAATATTATGGGAAATACTGTGAAAATTTCCTGAATCTGTTAAACATCATTTGGGAAATATTTGAAAAATACAAAAATGCGGCGAATAATTCTGACTGAATACATTTTCAGTGTTTGCTCATGTTGTTTGTGTGCAGATGCACATAGTGAACATCAAATCCACGCATCCAAACTTGACGTCTGCACTTGAAGACCCAACCGGCATTGCTGTGCTTGGAGTATTTGTTGACGTAAGACGTAGCTCTACCTGAAAGAGCATCTCATCTCTATTTCATCAGCATCAATCACCCTCATCTTTAATACTCTACTGCAGGTGACTTATCTGCACAATGAAAACTTCCAGTCCATCTCAAGTGCACTTTCTTATGTTGCCTACAAAGGTCAGTCAATGCAGTATGTTTGTATATTCCAGTATATTTGAAAGTTTAATCCATGGATTTAAATGTTCTTGTAGGACAAACAAAGTCGATCAAACCATTCCCGTTGGTGAACTTGTTACCTCAGAACAACCTGACGCAGTATTATCGTTATCACGGCAGCCTCACAACGCCACCCTGTTCAGAGGTGGTTTTGTGGACCATTTATGAAGTGCCTGTGTATATTTCATGGGCTCAGGTAAGTCATCTTAAAGTTGATCAAACTGCTTGCATCACACCCTTATAGTCTAGTATACGGCAAAAAATAAGTGATGGTCATTTTCGAACCACTGCTTCATGAAGCTTTGAAACTTTTACAAACTTTTTGCTTCGATGCAGCGTTTCGGAGAACGAATCAAATTGGCAAGGTCATATGATTTCAGTAAGCCAGGCTGCGTTACGTTATTACTAGGGATGCACAATATATCGGCGACCACATCGTTATCGGCCGATAAAGGCTATTTTTAATGTTACGGATATGGATCCAATGTCAAAATTAGGCTGATAGATTACATAATCGTACAGTACTGCCTGCCTTGCACGTGGATCGAACTTGTTCAGACTTGTCTAGTGCACTACAACAGAGCTTTCCTCACATTGTGGGTTAATAACTCAGTAACCATAATCCTTATCATTGTAGATATGTTTGATAGAGTGTCATTGGGTATTTTGGTTTAAATCGCCTCTGAAAAAATATTATATATGTAAACATAATAGCAGCAATGCACACATGCTAAACAACTTGTTGGGTTGTTTGTTATATAATTAGATTATTTGCTATTATTAACACGTTGCTTGCCTTGTGTTGTTGATGTAAGATTGTATTTAGTTTGATCTGCATATTTATAATGAGCACACGTGATGTTTATCGTGTTCAAAAAGAATCTAAAACGCCAAATGGGACGACTCCATGACAAATTTTCTAAAGTATTATTATCAGTATTTTGCTTTTCGCTTGTACGGTGGCTCTGAACTGTCAAAACACCTCTCAAAATTTTTTTTTGCACTGCCATGCATTTCTCTGAGCTCCAGTGAGCAGTGCACGTCGGACAGTTTATCAAAGATGTACCGCAGGATCACGTCTCACTATAGTTGTTAAACGTGTTATTCAGACATCCCAAGTCTTACAATTGGGCCGATTGGGCCAGTAGAAAAAATCCTTAGTGTTTAACCCTGATTAGTAAAACAAAAACACACAATGCATGCTTACAGAGTGCTGCACCTTCTGCAAAAATAATATTACCCCATATTACATTAAATCACAACAGCATATTAAATTGTATGCAAGAATACTGTCATGTAGAATATGTTGTGTGCAGATTTTTGGTATGTTTGTGAAGAAATAATTTAAGTATATTGATTTGCTTGTTTTTTTTTTTCTGGTCAGTTCGAGCAGTTTGTAAGCGGGATTTATTCCACGGAGGAAGAAGCAGAAATCCAGGCTCTTCTGCATGACAACTACAGACACATTCACCCAACCTACAGTCGCCCCGTGTACGCCTCAAAAGATGCCAAGCTGCTCACCAATGGAGTTTCCTCTCTTGCCTGTTTTAATTCTGTGTCTGTAATTGTATATCTGTTATTAAATATTTAGCATTTCGCAGATAGACCGTAATCAGTGTAGCGCCATATTTAATTTCTGACACAGATGAAAATGTTTTCAGTGGACTGTACAGTTGGATGGAATTTACATCTTACATGAGAAATAAGCAAAAAACTCTTAGTACCAGAAACACTCAATATGATTCTGGTATTACAAAAGGCTTTTCCCTAGTCCTACACGAAAGAATCTTAAAGGGATTTCTACTGATACCTAGAAGAAAGACTGAATTTCAGCTCACTGTATAAATTTCACGCTACAAGTGGAGCTAATAATACAACAGATTACATTTTATTGTCACTGTACATATATACAATGTATATTTATATAGACCATTTTGGGGGACGTAAACAAAAACAATGGTCCTGACATATTTCCTGTTCTACATTTATAATTTCTACAGCTTTCCGAGAATCCAAAAAGAGCCACATATTGATAAATAATGTTAAGAAATTTGTTTTAACATTAGGTTATGATTGAATTGCCTCTTATTACAGTTATGAAATAGTTTGATAACATGCTGGAAATGTTTATTGGCCAATGATATCGCCACATTGAAATGGTTAATGCATGTGTGATGAGATTAAGAGCATCTCAATACTCAGTGCAAACATGTAAATATATCCTTACAATACAAATCACACTAAACAACAAGTTACAGTAAAAATAACTGTAGATGATAAATAGTAGTGCAGAATAGGGGATGAGAGGGGGGTAGGGTGTAATACTGTACATGCACCTCTGATAGTGTTATAATCATTCTGTGAAAAATACAAACTTACCTCAGGAGACAAACTAGTCGATGTAAAGTTGAAGTCAGAATTATTCGCCCTCCTGTATATTCATTTCTTCAATTTCTGTTTAATGGAATGAAGGTTTTTTTTTTCAACATTAGTTTTAATTAGGAATTCACCATAATGAATTGTTTTTGGCTGATATCGATAACTCAAGATTTGTAGGCCGATAACCGATATATCTGCCGATAAATATTTAAAAATGTTATATTTTTATAGAGTAAACAACTGATTTTATTTTAAAACTTCATGAAAGTGTGAACTGTTCTCATGATAGTCTACTCAAAGCAATAATTTCAAATTTGAAAGGTGATTATATAGATATATTCACGATTTCACATAAATCAGCATGCCAAAAATAAATGATTTCCTTTTCTTCGCATAGCAAATTAGCATGCAATTTGACTGTTGCATAAAAATAATAGGTTAAATAACAAAATGAGATTTAATTAACAAACAAGTAAAATAAATAGTTTAAATAAAAATTATATTAATAATAATAATTTATTCTTATATAGCGCCTTTCAAATACAATGAAAATTAAAGAATAAAGAGCTGAAACCAGCTCAAATTATCTTGAATAAAAGGTATTACCGTGATGTACATACAGTACAAATATGTAATGTCTGAAAATGCGTTTTGAGAGGACAGTTCAGAGCCACCATACAAGTGAAAAGATAACACAGATAATATTAATTTAGAAAACGCAGCATTGAATTGTTTTCCAGCGCTTATGGAACCAAAATCTAGCCTGACTACAATTTGGCTATTTTTGGGAAATTCTAATGTAATGGACACCTTTCCATCAATCCAACAGCAAGCCCTGATGGTTGGCATGATTACAGCTAAAAAATGATCTTACTTAATTGGAAATCTCCAAAGGCTCCCTGTTATAAAAGATGGTTGAATGAGCTGCTTTATGTCATTTAAATGGAGCAATTACGTCTTAAAACTTCACAGAAAAGAGCTGAAACCACATGAGGACCTATCTTAAGACTCTTGGTATTTTAGCATTTTAAGTTTGTAAATTTTCATCTCTAACCTATATATTCTTGACATAGACTTTGTAAAAACGTAAATATTGTCTTTTTTTTAAATATATGTTTATGCTTCATATGTCATGGGGGGTGTAATGTTAATTATTCTGTACACTGGACAAGACTGAACAAGTTCTACACACGCATGCGCGAGGCAGGCAGTTCTGTACAATTACGTAATATATTGGCTTGAAGATAACAGCCTAATTTTGACATCAGACTGATAACGATAATCCTAAAAATAGCATATATCGGCAGAAAACTATATGGCCTCCGATATATCGTGCATCCCTTGTTAAGGTCTTATTTTTAACAACCGATTTCTTTTCACCATAATATTTGACTAGATATTGTTCAAGACACTAGTATTCAGCTTTAAGTGGCATTTAAATGTTTGACTAGGTTAATTAAGGTAAAGTTACGGTAATTAGACAAGTCATTGTATAACAGTGGTTTGTTCTGTAGAATATCCAAACAAATATTGCTTAAGGGGGCTAATAATATTGACCTTAAAATGCTTTTTAAAATAATTAAAGCTGCTTTTATTCTAGCCGGAAAAAAAACAAATAAGAGTTTCTCTAGAAGAAAACATATTATCGCAAATACTGTGAAAATATCTTCACTCTGTTGAACATCATTTGGGAAATATTTGTAAAAGAAAATTCACAGGAGGGCGAATCATTCTGACTTCCACTGTATATACAGTAGCAGAGCTAGCAGTAGTTTGACTCAAGTCCAAAGTGTCGTTTTTACAAATGATAAAGTCTTGTCAAATAAAATGACATTGTTTTCAGTGTGTGTTTGTCTATTCTGACTGGTTCACTCACACAAGCAGGTTGTTGTAGTGGTCAAACCCTCCACGTCCTGTTACAGACACTGGGAGGCTGCTCAATCGCACAAAGAGCCCTTGTTTTGGTCTCTTTCGAGGTTTCTAGGTTTGCTAATCCAGTCGGTGAGGTCATTCCCTGGTGCTCTCTGACAGAACAAAGCAGTCACTATTTCAGCCTCAGATTCTGAAGTGGAGCTCATTAAAGATTACCTGCCAATAAATTATGGTGCTTTAGTGAAGCTGGCAAAACTTTACAATCACTTTTAAGCTTAACTATGCTGTAAACAATATCTGTTAATTAACAATTATTATTTCACACAATGTTTTCACACAATTTCACAAGTGGTTTTGGGTTTTTTTTACGGTTGTGAATTGCATTATAGAATGTTGATCTCTGCTCTGTCGACTTGTAACATTGAAAATTGAGTTTAACAAACAGTTTAACAAAGGGGCTTTTATTGACATTTTAGTAGTCTGAAATAATATAATGTAAAAGAAATAGAGAAATAAGTCTGTAAAATAACACAAAATGTACTGGTGGTTTATTATAAGGTTTTTGTAGTGTAATAAACAACACCAACCCAGACAATACATCACTTTAATCTAATAAAAATTTTCATAAAAGTCACTTTTTAAGGTTAGAAGTTGTCAGAAGAAAGATCTAGATCCCACAATTCAACAGCATAAATAAAAAAAACCCACACAAAATATGGAAATTTGCTAACTCATGGATATTTTTGACAGCGTAAAACATTCAACTTAAATTTTTCTGTTAAAATGGTAGCTAGACAAATACATTTTATCATTATTAATTTTAGGTATTATGCTTTAAACTATATATATACACACAATATCACAACTAATAATACAAATAAATTAAAAAGTTATTCAATTATAAACAAGCAATGGTCAAGAAATACAACACAAAAGTTATTAGTACAGAATATTAGTACTATTTAAAAAAAATAGTACTATGATGAATAATATTGAAGTAATTTTCAACTCTTTATTAAACACTGAAACAAGACTAATCGTTAAAATTCACACATGAATATGAAAATGAAACAACAAAAATAGACTGAGCAAAACTTAATTTTAAACTGTTTAAAAAAAGCGGAGGATGAGTAAATGACAAAATGTTCAATTTTGGGTGAACTATCCCTTTTTAATTAGGCGTATTCCTATTCACTCACACACACACACACACACACACACACACACACACACACACACACACACACACACACACACACACACACACACACACACACACACACACCTAATGTTACACTTACAGTGCATAATTGAGTAAGCCAATTTAGATAATGAATATTTCTCTCCATTTCGCAGTGAATATAGGCAATGTATTTAGGAGCATTAAAACAAAACAGGTTTGATAAACAGATATATTTATTCAAATTATATTTTAGTAACCAAACATCTTTAGAAATTGCAAGATGTTCATTCATTCATTTTCTTGTCAGCTTAGTCCCTTTATTAATCCGGGGTCGCCACAGCAGAAAGAACCGCCAACTTATCCAGCAAGCTTTTTTGCAGTGGATGCCCTTCCAGCCGCAACCCATCCCTGGGAAACATCTACACACACATTCACACACTATAGAAAATTTAGCCAACCCAATTCACCTGTACCGCATGTCTTTGGACTGTGGGGGAAACCGGAGCATCCGGAGGAAACCCACGCGAAGGCAAGGAGAACATGCAAACTCCACACAGAAACACCAACTGAGCCAAAGTTTGAACCAGCGACCTTCTCGCTGTGAGGCAACAGCACCACCTACTGCGCCACTGCTTTGCCAAATTGGAAGACAATACAACTAAGTTCAAGCAAAATATTGCAAAAAACTAAAACCTACAAAATTTCAATAAAAATTTCCCACATTTTTTTGCTTCTCTTGATTAAATTTGTATTTAATATTTTCTATAACATATTAAACTAGCTGTACTAGTTTTTGGACTGTTATCGTAAGTTATTTTCTTAGATAAGCTCTAGTTTTGGCTTCAGTACTGACTAATCTAATGCATATGCACTAATATAATACTGTAGAGCTTCCTATTAAAAATATGAATTTAAAAGATCAATTTGTGAGGGTGTACTTGTATACACTGAGCACTGTAGTGTTTATCCAAATCAAAAAGAAAAGTTTTTATTTAATATACTAAATTTAATAAGCTAAATTTTACACTCATAAATGTAAATTTACTAATAAGAAACCTAATTTTTAAGTATCGGTGACTGAAATTCGCGTTTTTTTTTTGTTGTTTTTTTTTACCAGTGTCAGAGAGTCTCTAAACAAGAAAGCCTTACACACTTTACGAATTTGTGAACTCTAATGTAGTAAGGTGTACCTAATAAAGTGGCCAGTGAGTACATGTACATATATATAGATATTATTTTTCAGGGCAAAGGCATGAAATTCTAATACCACAAAACCCACAAACATATTGAATCTATGCCACGAAGGATTGAGGCAGTTCTGAAGGTAAAAGGGGGTCCAACCCAAGACTATTTAGGTATTAGATGTGTATATCTTGTATATTTGTATTTTATTTATTCTTACCCCCTTGCATGTATTTTTTATTGTAATGTGTTGTGCTGCTCTTGAAAAAAAAAACTACATTAACATTCTTTCATACTGACGACTAGACTATTTTTACTGTAATAAATACAAAGTTAATTCTCGTAATTTAATCACTTTTTAATTTGATTTGGCTTTATATCGAATATGTAAGGTTTATGCAGTTAACAAATCGCCA